ATGTGAATTGCTTAAGACTACGTTCTTGCTATACTGAATGTCGGAAATTCATGAACGTACATATTTACACTCCAAGTGATAGGGGTATAACTCTAAGCAAGTAACCATTCGGAATATTAGATCAGGATGCTCGAATTCATGCTAACCCCACAGACCAACGGTAGCTATAATCAGATTAACTTTAGTCCTCTCACATGCGGAAGCAAGGGAACGCGCTTTCATGGACCTTTAAGAGTAACCTCAAGCCCTAGCAGAATCAAGACAAATCGCACGAGCTTCACTGGAATCTTTGCAGGTCTTTGAATTCATATTAGGTCATTCTGCAGCGACTGGATTGGCGAGAGCATTGGAAGCCTGGCAAGCTTGGAGTTGATGGTATTTCTTTTCGGACTGGCACTACACATACGTGGAGACTGGCGAGTGTCGCGCATGAAACCAAATGGCCCGAAAACAATACTGATGACTGTAGACTTCAGTTCGACGTTCGAAAAGTACTTTAATTATGATTATATTCCTACCAACCCTTTGGTTGATATTTGGTAGTGAGGTGTCTAGCAGTCCGCCTTGCTCTTGGAAACGGGGCAGTTGATAGCGCTAGGAACGTTTGTGTTAGTTGCGTAGTCTCTTTTTGGTTGCTACTGTGCTTACTTCTTGTCGGACTCGTTGGCGGTAATACCCGCGGGCTGCTTCTTGTCCACTGTGCATTTGGCGAAGACGTTGGGAACAAGCTGCTGGGAAGTTGTGCCGCAATCAAGGTTGCGGGTGTTACCGTTGGCATCGGTAACATCAATGTCGTGGCCGACGCTCACGTACTGGTTGTTGATACCCTCACCGGAGAAGTAACTTCGCACGTCTAATCAGCTCGGTCGCCTTGAAATCCGGAGATAGGACCCCTTACCATCCGTAAACAACCTGGCGGCTCTCAAGAGCAGGAGCAGCCTGGGCTCCAGCGACGAGAAGGGCAGCAGCGACGGTGAAGGCACGCATTTTGAATATTATTTCAGAGTGAGAGATGTAAAGCGGAATGAAGATCAACGAGTGACGATTTGCGGATGGCAAGCAAAGATATCTTACATCCGCGGGCGCATTGTCTCGAGGTTCTTATACTATAATGTCGCACTCTGAGTACCAGTCTTAACTTTCACGTTTACGGGCCGTAGTGGGGTCTATAATTTCTGAATGCCTCGTTATCATGCCCTGACCGCCGCCGAAAGTTACCAGTGCCCGGTGATTCCGAACGAGGGAGCAGCTCAGCGGCAATTCACTCTAAGTCCGAACTCTAAACAGGTGTAATTTTGTCGCATAGCGTGGAAACAAATTCCTCCCTATTATGACTGCTAGGGATTATACGAAGGTATATTATAATGCCTTCATGTTGGGTCGAAAGCACGGCCCTCTGCCAATGGCGCGCACGTAATTACCCCAATTCTAACTTCGCAGAAGGCCGAATGAGTACACTAAGTGGCTTATGGTGAACGTAAACTGCGAACCGACTAATGTATTTGAAGGATCTGGTTATCTTGAAACACAAATGATAAGTAGTTTGTTCATAGGGCGAGATACTGCATGGGGCTGTTCTTGGAAGAAGTCTTGCTGCAGAAGTCCATGTCTGCTTGGGAGGGGTTCGGGCACCGAGTCAGGAAGCAACCAACAGGGATATGGCAAGTTGTCTTCATTTGGAGAAAAGTATCACAGCCTCACACCCATTTGATCCGTAGGTCCCCTGATACTTTGATAGGGTAAGCCGTCGGAGGGTAGAAACCCTGTCAGAATTGCGCGTTGACACATTCGTCTGGTTAATACGCTCAGATTCAATCAAGAAGAGGTGTATCTGTCACCACGACACAGTTGCTGCTCATCATGTGCGAAAAATCACTGCTTGTTAGCTTAGTACGATTATGCATGGCAAGAAATGCAGTGTGATGTACAACAGCCTCTCTACTTAGATGCGCTGCTCTTCTGGGAAAGATACTCTAGTCTTGTATTGCACTACTCGCTATGTGATAACACGTCACTACCTCCTAGGTTCCTACCCCTCTCGGTGTTTCTCTCTAACGACACTTTTATTCTCGTCCACCACCCGTGATGGGCTTGAGTTATTCCATCACGGTAAGATCAAAGGATCTATCTAGCTTATGGGGTAGCTACCTCTGTTCTTACAAGAGTGGAATGACAGCTGTATTCGTGTAGTCAGCAGAATCGGCAGCACATTCGATTCTGTCCATGCAGGTCCCGAAGATACGATCCCACAATCGAGTGTGCTTGCCGTAGTTGCCGCTAGTCTTCCAGCCTTTCCGATGATGGAGATCATGATCCTCAAGCACCAACTCGCAGTTAAAAAACTGAAGCGGCCATGCGAAAGGTGTCGGAGTTGTGGCATAAAGACGCAGCCCGCTATGTCCCGTCAATTCAGTGAAAATAACATATTCCTGACAGAACCACCATTCGTAAAAGCCCATTGGCAGCCCTACGAGCTTGAGCGTCGCCCACGTCAAGAAAGGGATACCGGCGATGTCCCAGAACTCTTGTTCACTGTCCGCGAAAAGCGTGAGAAGAGGGTTCGGGTGTTTCGTAAGGTGGTGTGTCTTGTGGTACTTCCACAACGAGTCGACCTCGTGCATAAGTCGGTGATACCAATAAAACCAAAAGTCCAAGACAACACCGTAGAGACCAATCTCGAGAGGAAGAAGCATCCAATTTATTGTGGCCGGAGCCTCGTTCGAACGATACGAAAGAATCACAGCCATCATTGATCGAAATGTGGCAGTAGATATGAGTGACTCGAGTACTGTTTTGACACTTTTGTCGGGGACCCCGTCGCGTTCATGCTTGTCGCCATCAAGGAATCCGTAGCGTTGGCCAAGACCGCGCATGGTATTGATTTGGTGGATGGCGACAGCCTTTATCGCCACGCTGTAGAATACGAAAGCCGCTACGGGGTGAACGTTATATCCAGTCAAGGATACAAAACCTTGATGAAGTAGGAGAGGTATTGTTGCGTGTAGCAGTATCCACCGATGGAACTGCCAGTGTGGGACATAAGGCACTGATTCGGTTTTGGAGTGGACGGGCGCAGGTCGGTCAAGCTCATCGTGATAGAGTCCTAGGCGTTCGATAATCCAGTGACCGATCTTCCACGTACGCTTGTCGCTGCGACGCCAGGTTGACCTCATAGGATCTTTGCTTTCGATCCTAACAGTTTGGCCTTGGCTCGCCGTAGTTGTCGTGAGAGTAGAAGACATACTGACAGGTTTTTCATCAGAGATGCCTAAAGGTTGATAGCAATGAATGTTGTACCACCCTATCATTATCAACCAGGTAGGGGATCTACAATCACGATATATATAGTTTCATCTGATGATGATCCTCGGCACTACCACATTCACGTGTCCCACCCCCACATTGAAATAAGCTCGGACAACACGTCAGACCCTTATGTAGTATTGACAAGACTTCTTCTTTTGACACCTGATTGAAGCGCCATTGCGCTTGGGCCAGAGTCGACATCTTGATTGCAGGTAGGTACAGAAATGTGTGTTTCATATGGTTCCGAGGCTCAGTGTGGCTATGCGAAGCTATGCGAAGCTATGCGACGCATCACATCCAAGCCGAGTCGATCAAAAGCCGAGGCTATCGAAGATCGGCATCATTCGATGCGGAAGTCTCTTTGACTCGTTATGTGCGAGCTGAGCGCTATGGGCGCTGTCGTAGTCAGAGCACATGAGACGCGATGAAAGATGTACCTTGGCCCGTAGGCTAGACTAGAGCAAGTAGGAAGAAGTTTTCAGGGACCTTTCATCTAACCATCAGAAAACCTATCACGGATGACATTAGCCCTTCCCGCCGAATGGATGATGCTCCGTCACATGTTGGTTTGCATTGGCGGAGACAAGGGACCGAACTGTTCAGAGGACATGAACATAAGATAGCCTGTAGTTTCAAACCCCAAATAAGGCTCGCCTAGGCCATGTGCAAGATATTGGGAGCACCAAGAACTCTGGTGTTCTGATCACATGCGCATGAACACCGGCGGGTCGATTCTCTTAACACACTAAGTGCTAACGCATCTCAAGGAACCTGTTAGATCATAAACCTCTGTGGCGGACACGGCCGGGGTAGATTGTAGGCGTTAAGGCATTACCCTTGCTGATGTCAATATGTTTACTCAACAAATCGTGACAGCGTGACGTACCGATGGCTGGAATTAAACCGAATGAGTCATGTTCTATTCATGTTTGTGGTACCCCTCTTCTGTTACTCACTTTCTCGCTCTCTCACTTTAAGAAAAAGATTGAAGCCACACAGAGCTTGATGTCTTGTCGCCGGAATTTGCCGCGAAATGTAAGAAGTCAATGTTCAGGTGGCTAAAGATTTCAAGAGGAGCCATAAACGCAGTTCTGCTGCATCTGGAACGGGACCTGGATGGTCTGCTTCTTGAGCTCTGTGCATGAATCCCTCAATGTTAACACGACATGGACCTCCTCCTTGCAATATAAGAGGCAAGCCCATTGTTTGTAGGGAAAAGTTGCCCCACTAGGGTATGGTTCCACCCCCAAGCCTCGGGTTTTCCAGTCGACATATTCATATACGTTGTGTTGGCTACCTTACTCACTTACTACGGCTCCAGGATATCAAATATGCACATCATAATTAGTCTATCGAGACAGTGAGAGTATTCACTAATACTGTGTATTAATACCGTGTAATCGATATCGAGAACCGCCCGAGCAGCCAGCAAAGGCAGAACATAAAAATGAATACACATCGTAATTTAAATAGATCCGTCAACGATTACATTTGAACGCATGGAATACACTGAGTGACGAGAGCCTTTTCTTGATTCCGTCTCCAGCCTAGGGAGGCAAAGTTCATACACCGAGGTAATTATGTGAAATCAAATTTCTGGATAGATTTACATATGCGGATAAGGAAACTCACACATTGTTTTAGCAGGCTCTTGCATTACCTAATTACCAGCTGCAACAATTGAAGATATTGAATTAGACACTTGCAGCGGCCACTTTAGCAACTAAGCCCAGGATTCCTGCTGCAGTGATTGGCGAGCTTGCCCTTGAGAATCCCTCCCGGAACGGCAGGCGTTCTTGAGCTAAGGGTTATGTGTAAGCATACGAACCATGGCAACAAGAAGGCAAGATTGGACATACTAAACAAAACCTTCACCCATTCGGTATTGGCATTTCCATCCTCCAGATTTCCAAAGACAGAGAGATAAAGAGCTGTCTCAATGAAGCTGAATTGGGTACCATCGGCCGTCAGGTTGAAGACAGGGTTAGCAGCAGCAGCGGCTTGCAGACGCGTTACCCTCGCCTTGGCGGCTGTTGGGATGCTGATAGTAGTGTTTGTAAAGGCGACCGCTACCGATTCCCAAATGTCTTTATTGAACGAGTGGTTGTCGCCAAAGTAAATGTCATTACGACTTAGACTACCGTCGTGTTCAATGACTGCCACTGACTTTAGGGTATGCACACAATGTTAAGGGTCGAGTTGACTCACTGCCATGGGTATTGAGATCGTCCAGGTTAAATGTCGCGTTGTTGCCAGTCGTGGACGTGAGCAGAGCCTTTTGTCCCACTAAAGTAGTAGCAGCAGGATCCAGATTAACGGCTGCCGTAAAGCCGGCAATGAGGTCTGCAAGAGAGACATTCAAGCCGCTACGGGGGAGGTATCCGTGGTTGGCAAGAGTGTTCACCATTGGACAGGGGCTACGACCTGAGAAGTGTCAACAGGAGCTTCAGATTCGTATATTCATCTGATTGTGAGTATTACGATCGGCGGGAGTAGGCGCAAACCAGTCATTGGACCCGCGTCTGACAGCGAATGCGTCCGCTGCGAAAGCGAGAGAGAGAACGAATGTGGATTTGACAAGCATGATTGGCAAAAGGAGAGACAGCGAGGGATAGAGAAGGCAAAAAGGAGTGACGCGTAGAGGAGGAGCAAAAAAAGTAACACTTCGAGCTTGAAAAGCTGCGTTCAACTGGCCGGGTGGCCGACCATAGATAAGTCTTTCTCTTGTCTTCTTCCCAGACTAGGGATCAAGTAAGCATTGTGGTCCCTGAAGTTCTTTTGTCATGGTGATCAACTTGACGCGATTCCATATCCGTATGTAAGGCCGCGTTGAGTACCAGAACGAGCTTACAGCTGCGCGATACGAAATTGACTCTGACCCCTGCGTTCTTCTTGAGGGAACCCCACGATGGAAGATGTTCCCGATCAGGGGGCCTGTGCCGAGACCCTAGCTTCAGCGGGGAAGCTCGGAACCGGGTTTTGATTGAGACTGACCAATGAGTAAGCCTCAAAAGTCAGCATATGTGCAACGATGGCCTCGGTAAAATCGGAATAGCCTGTTTTCGGGCTTTCACCGAAAGAATGGCACAGTGTCCATGCTTTAGTACGGAAGAGACATGCCGCCGGTGTATCGTATCGAAGCATTCTGAGGGATCTGTGCGTAGGCTGACCGAGCTGAAGTTGCATTGGCCTAATCCCATGGGTATAACACAGTTTGCCTGTCATAGGCTCGGCCCGCAATGCTTAGAAGGATGATCTGAAACTCTATTAAAGTACAGAATCATGAAGATGATGTCAATCTCACAATGGACTCAGATTCGTTCGACCAAGTCACGCCTGTCTACTGATTGGGATTTCATAGTGGTATCACGCCGACCGTCACTCCTATCTCCGTAAGGTATCTCTAAGCGCATTGTCGTGATGTCTATGTCGTGTCCACGACGGGCCATCTCACTTGTAAAGAGAAAACTATTCGTCACTAACGCATTGCATAAAGACCATTTCGTAGAACTCATGTCGGCATGTCGGCCAATTACCTCTTCAGAATGTCCAACCAGGTCGGACATCTCTTTCGGAATGCCTCTCATGTCACACAACGTTTCAGCCTCGGCTTCTCGATGAAAGAAGAACCGCGATTATGCTGATATCGTTGTGTTCTCAGAGCAATAAAAAAGGCCGACGAAGTAGACTTGCTTTTTCCAGCATGAAGCACTTAGTACATAGCCTAGGGTTGTAAGGCTCACGTTATGCCAAGCGTGGACTCTTCTCCCTAACCATGAAGAGTCATACGTCCCGTAGACGAGAACCAAAGTAGACATATCCCCTGGAGGCAAATTGGACAAATTTGATACTGCAAGTAACCAAGACTTTTGGAAACAATAGTAAGCTGCCAGGAGAATGCGGCAGCGCAGGAAAAAGGTGCGATTAATGTGATCTTTGCGGGCGATACGCAGCTTCCCTTGTTGATGATCCGGGGAGTTTTAGTTTCCACTCTCGCATATTCAGGCTGTTTTCAAGTAGGCTTTGGGGATGAACACCCGGAAGTTCCTCCAGTTTCTTACAAACCTACCGGACTAGCCAGGTCGATGTACCTTGAGTGAAGTTGTGTGGCACATTTCAACAGTATGCCGCTGATAGAAACACACTTATAGATAAATGTATCACCACTATGTCGCTCAGGTGCGGCCAGATCACCCGCCGCCTTAGGGTGGCATGAGAAACGCGAGCAAGGTGAGTAGGGTGAGTGAGTACAGGATCTCAACTCACAGGCTACAGCGTGTTAGTATATGTTATTGAGAAGACGTTTACAGATAATAGTCGGACGGTGCGTGCTATATTAGTAGCTTATATCAGTTTATTTCAGGCTGCCCTCAAGTTCATTCATCCATCCATCCATCCATCTATCCATCTATCCATCTATCCATCTATCAGGCGGCGGCCCCCAGGCTCAGAGTCTTCGATTTGTGGTGATCCTTCTATGCCGCCACCTCGCTGCGAACTGCTCGCCAATTGTGTTGAATTGAATACTGAAATAGCACGAGCACTGGGAGTCCTCAATTCCACCAGCCATAGCTAAGACCCCACCAACAAACACATTCCAACCACCAATAATCAATCAGCACGTTTCCCACCATGGAACTCCCTAATCCTACCTAGTTTACGCAATATTCTTACGATGTAATGGTTGGTGCTCGAAGCGATCTGAGCCCTCCCATAGCCATGTCCACCAGACAAGGGACGCAAGTGCTCCGCTCTGCTGCATTTGAGCCACTGCAGAGCCACTGCAAAGCCACTCGCAAGTGCCTGTTGGTTTGCCCATCGATGGTGTCGCCATAATTGACCGCCAACCCCGCAAAGAGTACCATGTCGCTTGTTGAAAGGATGACGAATCCATCTTCGCGACTTCCGACTGAAATATTGAATATTATTCTGGGCATGAAATGTTACATGACCACCAACTCAACAGAATTAGAGGGGATGTTCTCAGCCTGGCAAAAGGGAAGATCTCACACCATCGCAAATGCACTAGGACACGCGGGACCGTCCCAGGCGCACCGTCAGGCATCCTCGCTGTGGATACATTTCATCCATCGGCGGCTATTCGAAGACCCTTGGTGTAGCTGGCAGGTGGGCTAAGCCTATCACTTCGACTACGGCAGCTTTTAATTCGACCGCTCCTGGCTGCATGTCTTTTGCCAGCTTCCAGATTCCGAGGCAAAGTCAAGCCGAGACATTTCCGCATCAAAGCCTCGTCGATCGCCCGAGCTACCAAGTCAAACATTCTAGCTTCATTCGGTTCTTATGCATCTAGTCGAAGGGCAGCCGAACAGCTGCTGAAAGGGCTGAAGTAAGGTCCAGCACCAAGGTAACGAGAGCGTTCATCTAAAGCTCTTTACTACACAAGGGATGGAGCGCAGCATTCTACGGTGGTGGACGACTCCTGGTTCTGCGTGTAAGTCCCAACCAGGGCGGGCAAGGATGACGTCTCTCCGCTCGAACCGGGCTTCCAAGCATACTCATGTCATTCGCAAAACTGTCTTGCTGGCATGTTCCATTCACCAAGTAGACTTCGGGTAATTAGATATTGTCACGAGGGAAACGTTCAGCACCAACGACCGTACACTTTGGAGATTTTGCCAATTGAGCACATTGAGTATCTTAGCTTCTATCCGGCAGCAGGTTGGCCCTGGCGACCCCGAATCCTTCCCCCGCTCAACGCCGTTCGCTTCGCAATTGTATGTACATGGTGGGAAAAAAATTACAAATAAACTTCGCAAGAACACCAGAAATTGCCACGATATTGGCACAGGCGTTGCACTGTGTCGAACAACGTCAGCACAACTTTAGTGATCCAACGTCAGGCGAGTGAAAACATACTTTAGCAAGAGCCGTCGTAGTACGCGTCGAATCCCACGGGCGCCGTGTTGTATCCGGTATTGCTTACCGTCACCCGGCAGTTGGAGTCGGCCTGGAGGTACACGCTTGATGCGCCATTGATCAAGGCGGTTGTCCCCTCGTTCTTTTGGAGACACTTCTGCAACACGTTGTTCCCGGTCGACTTCTCTCGAACCCAGAAATGGCAACCCTGTGCCGTTACCGTGGCGGCGAAGACGGTGGTCAGGACGAAGGTGAAGGGCTGCATTGTGACTTTAAGTAGTCTTTTGATCAGTTTACACGACGATTTTGGAATGAGCGGCGGAATTCATCATACCTAACGAGTGTCGGTTAATACTTCGACAGGGAGGATTGGCTAATAAAGATAAGTAAGTTGGGAACTGTTGGTGTGTGGTGGTATTTACAACTTCGTCTGAGGTCTGGCATTATCCGCTTTTTATTTGCGAAAATTGAGGCTTAAATTCGCAGCCTTGAGAGAGGTTCATGGGGTTTGACTCGCTGTGTAATATCACTGATACAACAGACTCGTTATCTGATACTGCCCTGCATGCCGGCGAAAAGTTTATATGTAACTACCCTAATGTTAGTTCCCAAAACAGTTTTTCACCAGATACTGACAGCGATTCTCTAGTTAGCTGGAACCCCCTTATGGAAATTCACGCCAACGTGTTTCCGGAATGAGATTGGAGTTGATACTGAAGTACATACACATCGTCTCTCAATAATATTGAGTTTTGCTATCCGGGCCGTGTAAAGCACAGCTGCGCCCTGAGATCTAGTCGTAGATAACAGAACCAGCGACAGCGGCGGTCTGGCCTGGTTAGGCCCGTCAGAGCTTAGACGCAACAAATGAATTGGGGACCTGGAAATTCCGGGCCGAGTGGGATCGATTGCGAAGCTGAGCGCGTGCCCGTCTCAACTGGGGCTTTGCGCGAGTCGTTCAAGTTCACGCCAACGCCATTAAGGCAATCACTCAGTTCTTAGCGTCGCTTCTGAATCTCTAGTTCCCTTGGCAGTTAAAATTGCAATTCCCGGCGATCCGAGAGTGCTACTAGTACTGCATGTATTCCCACCCGCTGCTCATATACAGGCTCTATTCAACGGGATATGTTTCCTAGTCACAGGCATTCGCAGCCTCAGTACATCTTTATACCGGCCTCTGTCTTGAGTGTCTTGAAGTGCTTGAGTTCCGAGTTCCTTTGATGGTAAATTTAAGACATGACTGGTCAAAGATTCGTGAATTTTAGTAATAGCCGCATCGGCCCCGTAGTCTAACAGCATTTTGATCGTCTTCGGGACTCTGAACTCATCAGCCAGATGGAGCGCCGTCTTGCCATATTTGTCTGCAATGTTGACTTCTAAGCTTTTCAAATTCGGTGGTAAATGCGTGAATTCTCGACCACGACTGGCTTGCGTTCGCTGGTGAACAGCTTCACTTGGACATTGGAGCAACATTTTCGCGATTTCGGTACGACCACCTTCTATTACTGCACAATGGAGAGACGCACTTCCATTACAGTCAGAACTACCGTTGTACATGTCTGGAAGGCTGAGCGGATACCTGATCACGCTCTTCCAGACGGGTAGGGGACCGTAAGCTGGTAGATGGGGAAGTCAACCGCCACCTTGATGTAATTCGACACGTCTGGCGTAGATGGGCAGGAGGCGTGTATAAGCAGGTTGCCTACTTCAGAAAGCAGGACGGGCAGGTAGGAACCAGTCAGCTGTACTAAACACTGAAATCAAAAGGAACGTTGATGGATTCTTAAGACAGAAGGAGCGAATACGAGGCCCTGACCCCCGTTCTTCCCGCCCTCAAATTCCCTTCCAACACTGATATCCGCTACACTCCCAACTAGCTTGACGATGTGGATAGAGTTCGCAATCAGTGCGTCATGTACATGGACGAGCACGAGCTCAGCTCAGACGCCAAGGTCGCCACAACACACGCTGGGCGGTCTACTATCTGCGCCACCGACTACGACTGTGCCTCATCAACAACGACAACGGGCGCGACCACTGCCACTTTTCTCTCGATCCGAGCACCGCCAATGTTGACGTGGACTACCTCCGAGACTACACTCAACCTATCCTGTCACGGGATGAAGAGGATTTTACACGTATCGTCAAGGTTGAACTTTGTTCGGACCTGATCCAAACTTCAACGGTATCGGCTCGCGTCAATGCAATGATGCCGACCATCGCTATTACGGCGTCTGTGGCCATTGTACGTGTCTTCCTCTCACTTGACATGAATGTATGCTAACAACCCACCACAGAAGGCTAGCAGATATGACATAGCTCTCGAAAGCATTCCCATATCGAGCTCAATCCATGTTCAAAGGAAGAAATGTTTACTGGGGCAAAAAGGATGGGCTGCAGGCGCAATGAAAGAATCTGGATGGCCCTTGGAAGAAAGAATTTTCGGAAATAGTACTTTAAGGAACAAACAGATTGATACGTGAGCTTGATTTACTGCTTACCACCGACAAACCCCGGGACCAACATTCAACTCGCTTCGTATGAAACATGCCCCATATCCGGTCTGGAAGATCCGGATTGAACCTCTCCAAGGTACGATGACTTGTCAACGATGCCTGTACTCATATTGAAAGCCATAGTCTTTATATTCGTAACTACCGAAATTCCCAGCCACACAACTCCCAGCCACACGACGGAGTCCTGTCCGGCGTAACTACCACTCGTTGCTCACTAACTCAATGGCCTGAGACCCATGTCAAATATTCCAAAGGAGTCATCTTCATCGTCAGTGCGACGTCTAAGCCTCTGCTCCTAGTAGTCCTGGAACACGCTCATCTCTACCGCCTCCTTTGTCGAGTACACCCTCCAGAACGGGTCATTGTGACCATTGAATACGTACTTGTTCACCAAGAACAAGGTTTTCTCCTTCTTGTGAATTGCGTCGCTGAAGGCCGATCGCAGGCTCGTGTCTTCTGCGCGGTGTAGCCTTGTCTTGAGAAGGTTCTTGTCGCGGCAGAGGTGGCCGGCTATCTCGTTGAACTCTCCACGCAAGAGCTTCTCCGTGAAGCGGTTGAAGTCCCTTTGCCTGCGGCTGCTGGGTGTGTTTTCTTTAAGGAATTGGAGGAAGTCGGCACGCTCTTGCGCGTACTCCCTGTTAGTCCATCCGTCCTCACAGAATAGGTGTGCGATCCTTTTGATGGTGTCTGTTGATGGGGTAAGTGAACGGAAGAGAGGGGGGCTTGTCCCCAGAGTGGGAGATAGGGAGGGATCCTGCTTGCTATTAGTTATCTCAGAGTCCTCGTTTGTTTCCCAAAATCCGGTCGTCGGTACAGCGTCGATTGACATTGGCTTTTTTGTGAGAGGCAGTATCGAATTCTGGTTGCTATTCATTGGGTCCCAGTCCCCAACTAAATCCAAAAGCCCGAGCGCTGGTGAATCCGAAACCTCAAGTGATGAAGAATCACACAGCTCCGTTGATGTCGAATCCTCGGGTTCAGGCACTGTTGAATCCCACAGCCCAGGCGCTGATGAGTCCCATGATACAGGTGCAAATGAACCACATAGCTCCGAAAATGGGATTACAGACGCTGGGAAGTCCCACGGCCCAGGTGCAGTGGAATTCCACGGCCTCACTGCTGGAACATGGAGATTCACGTACGTGGATTTCCAACTTCTAGGAGTCGACTTTTGCTCCCTTTCCAATTCTCGCTTTTGCTTCCTTTCCAACTCTCGCTCACGCTCCCTCAGCGCGGACTCATAGTTCGACATGAGTAATGTTTCCTGCATTCCCCGCACCAGCTCATCCCAGGTTGGATTCATCCGCGTGCGTATGAAATCTGTCGTGGTGGCTTCAACCATCCGTGGCCTCACCGCATGTCACGTGACCCAGGTTACATAATCACCGAGGACTAACTCGCTTGCACTCTCTATTTCAGGGCGAAACCTCGTGCCCATTTCCTACTTTGAATAGACAACCGTTCTCTACATTCAACGTCGATGCCCCTATTGTGACTATACGACAAGAACCAAGCAGCGACTATAAATTCTGGCCCAGCACAGCTTGTGAAGCGCTACCGGCAAGTCATCCACATGACAGTACGTGTACTCTAGGACATAATGCTCGCGGAATATTTGGCACAGCTTGATGATGAGATCGTGATACTTAGCTTCATCTGCTAAATACCCCAGTATATCTTTCGTCTGATCGCGTACGTCGCAGCGATAGTCGTCTGTGGTGTGGCGCTCGTTTGTTCTGGAGTCTGGGAAGAGGCCCTCGTGGGCGGTTCTTGGCCTTCTTCTTCATAGCTAGGCAAAGGGGCCCGGTAGAGGAGAGTTTGAGAGTTTGGTCGGCGAGGGCGATTGCTTCCTGGAAGAAAAAGGTGTCTTCGGGCGAGATGGGAGAGTAATCTATGATGGACACATGTGATGATAGTGCAGACATGATGGTGTTTGGTACCCCAGGTGAGATGGATAAACAGGCTGAAACTCGATAGGGGTGAGAGGGTATGAATTGTTTTTCCCAGTTCTCCCGAAGACGAGGAGAGCAACTTCGTCTTTGTAATGATCGTGAGGCTATCGGAGATGGAGGTGGTCTGTCAGGTGTGAGGACTGAAGTGCTGTGACCCACTCATGCAAAGCTAAATCTTTGTTGCCTGGCTATGGGTTGACTAACTGTGTTTGGTCGACCTTTATGAGCTAACCGTTCTCGTTCTGAATGCCCAAAGGACGGATGGCGTCCTCTTTCTATGAGTGTCAGAGTTGCCACAGCATGTACAACTTTTTGATATAAAGTTGCCCGCTACCTCCTCAAGTTGGATTGAATAGAGGCGAGCCGTATCCTACCTATTCACAGTGGCGTGCCGTGTATCGTGACGTGCTTTGAGACATTTATATCTATTGCGAAGGAGTTGAGATGGCTCCGTGCGGCTCCATACAAGCCAGAAGACTGCATCACGCCCATAGAACTGGGCTATAAACTGTGCTCTCTGGTTTTCGCACAAAGTTGCGCATAATATTGATGCTCTTGAAAGGTTGCCACTATGCCTCTGGAGCCTTGATCTGTGCTAGTAAACAGGTAGCATTCCAATCATAAAAACTATCACATATGAGCGAGAAACACCGTTTCCCGCCAAGATTTGAGTTTATTTGGTTCAATATAGTTAGCCGGGACCTTGTTAGATAAGGTACATATATCATTACAAGCCCGCATGGCCGAACCCCAGTAAAATACTTCCAGTTTGCTCCTGCTTGATTCAAGCTTCCATTCAGCATACCTGATCCTGGTCAAGGGCTTGTGCATAGCCTCAAGACTCCGTTTTACGTAGAGACTGATACTCGGCAGGTACGGCGTCGACACCAGCACCAGTGTTGGCAATATTCTCCTGGAAACAGGGGAAATAGGTCAGCATCTCGTCTGAGTCTCATGCATACAGTGTTCTTTTTTGAGAGTTCAATTCAACTCACCAGCTCCTGAAGTTTCTCATCCGTCAGGCCTACAATGTCATACTCAGTGCCGTCTGCGAGGCCGAGGGTATCAGGTTTGACGACAGCCTCGCATTTACCGGCACCAGGCTGCTCGGTGGGGCAAGACTCGTCGACAGCCCGCTTGCGGTTGAGAAACCAGTATTGCCCCCCCGTGCGGTCGCCGCGCGTCGTGTAAGGCAGACATACGGTTGTGCTACCGCCCGAATCGCGCTGACCCCCAAAGAATGAGCATCCACCGCCCGTGTATGCCTCAGTGCGAATGCGCCAGTTGCTTGGAATCTGGGCTCGGCACTCATTAGTTCCGACAATTTTGATAGCAAAACAAAAGGTTTTTACATACGGCAACCACAGCAATGCTCGATCTGCCGCTGCTTGCAGAGCTACTGAAAGAGCAGCACACGTTTGGATTGATGTTGGTACAAGCGACTGAACCTCCGGCGCAGTTATCGCCAACATGGGCCCTAATGTCGATGGCTGACGCGGTGGCCGCGAGGACAACGAGAAGTGATGAGAAGTACATATTGAGTTCGAGCGGCGGTGGTGTTTGTCAAGATACTACTGAGTTTGAATGATGAGAGATTGATAGTGAAGGAGAATGAAAAAGAACCATCGTCGATGAGGAAGTAACCTGGCTTTATACCCCCTCTTTTCCAAGTTGTCTGTACTATGAGCTCTATTATTCTAAATAAGAGAAAGAGGTGCCGATGACTGCCCGGAGTCATGATAAGGTGGCCCCTCCTGTGCCGTCTTACTACATCGCAGATGGGGCGCCAGTTGCTAGCTGACATCAGTCTGAAGTATCCTATGCATATCTAGACAACATGTGAGGGCATCGCCACCGCCCCGGTGAAACTCTCTTTACCGCTCGCGGGCGTTTCCCCCATCGGCATTGAGTGGAAGCCTTAAACCATGAGACTCTTCGTGCCGTGCTATTCTCATTATCTTTTCGAGTTAGGTCCCTCAAAATCTATCTTGCTGGATCGCATATTGCAATTACTGTCCTCAACTACTATCAATTTGTGCGCGCAGTCCGGCAAGTGCCCGGCGGATAGGACGAGCTCGGGAAGTCCTTTCGTGCAAGACATGCCTCTAGTCTGCCCGCTTCTTGGCATTGATCCTTGAAGCATTGGCCTGCAAGTTTACGATAAACTGCCCTTTTGGGTGCCTATAGCGCTTACGCCGAGGAAACCTTCGTAGCATCTCTTTCTTACAACGGCTTGCCCAGGCGCATACGATGTGACATCGCAGATGATGGATCGCTAGCCTAAAGTAAATCCCGCAGTTTCTGTGCCCGACACCATACTAAAGCGTCATACTTGAGCGACAAAAAAGTGAAAGCCTCCCCTTCATCCAGTTTACTATGGTCAGTCCAATCAGCTTGAGTGAATCAACCGTATCCGAATGGATCCTATCGAGGGAAGTAAGCGGTTGATAGGTCAAGAGCCTTTCGAAGTGAGCTTGCCAGACTACTATGCGGGGTGGTCTAATCGATTGAAGCAGGTTGTCATAACCAGTAAGACATGACCAACAGAGAATGCTCCACAGGAATACTTGGAGTTGAACTTGATTGGTTGATTCAATCCTTTCTACTCGGCTATGAGCGGCTTGTTGGACAATCATCTCCGAGTTCCGGCCCTTCACCTTAACTTCCCTTTCCATTTGCCTGACCTCATGTACCTCGTATAGA